AATCTCAGAATTACAAATCTCAAAGGTTATTTGAGAAAGACAAAAACCCACTGCTTAAAATGTTAGAAACGTCCTCCCTGAAAGTCTCAGAACAAATTTTTAAGAATGTCATATAAACAGTTTATGTACAGAAATTATTTATTTAAACCTTTGCTACACATGCATACAAAATTCCTATAAAAGTCTCTAAAACACTTCACAAAAGTGTATTAACTAGGAAAAAAGAAAACTATAAAGTTTATCTTCTCAAACACTAATAACATTCCCATTTTAAAAAGTATACTGTGTAACACAAAGTTCCACTGAAAATTCATATGGCTATATTTCATTAAGCTACAGTGCAATAAAATAAAGGAAGAAAATGTAAGAGACAAAGTTTTGCCTTATAGTGATTATCCGGTCTCCAGTCTTGTCTTTCTGTTTATCGATATCTATGTGTGCACCAGTAAACTCCCGAATAGCGTTGATATTACAGCCTCCTCTTCCAATCACTCTGGATATCACAGTTGATGGAACAGATACTTTCTTTGATCTGTTTAAAAGTTGTATATATAAATTAAGATTAATCATTAACAATAGTTATTGTAATTTTAAAAAGGGGAAAGAGTATTACTAAAATGTTTTTCTATAAATACAGAATATTGTTGAATAATCCTCATCTATTCTAGATGAACAGAGAAAAGGCAATCAGGAGCAACAGACATGTAAGCTTTATTATAGCTTCTCATCTCATTATCAAAGATTGTTTGCTTTGTTGATCATCATTCTTGACTTGTATCTGTTAAGCATGTACTATGTAGACACGTGCTGTGCTAATGCAAATACTAATAGTAAATAAGATAGACATGGATTTCTGCCCACATATATAGACTATGTACACACTAATTACGAAAACACCACCATGTCATGTGTTGCAATAGTGTGCACACACACGCACACACGTATAATATATATACACACATATAGATATACATGTAGATATCTACATATACATGTAGATATCTATATGTGTGTATATATATTATATATGTATGTGTATATATATGATGGTTGGGTATCTAATCTAGCCTCAAGAGTCAAGAAAGACTTCTTGTGGGCCCCTTTGGTGCTTTACTCATATGCTTTTTTTTAGTCTCTAATATATATAACTCAAAGAGTGATATTAAAAATTCATGACCGGGCATGGTGGCTCATGCCTGTAAATCCCAGCACTTTGGGAGGCTGAGGCAGGCGGATCACTTGATGTTAGGAGTTCGAGACCAGACTGGCCAACATAGTGAAATCCCGTCTCTACTGAAAAAAATACAAAAATTAGCCAGGCATGGTGGTGTGCTGCCTGTAATCCCAGCTACTTAGGAGGCTGAAGCGGGAGAATCACTTGAACCCAGGAGGTGAAGGTTGCCGTGGACTGAGATTGCACCACTGCACTTCATCCTGGGCAACAGAGCAAGGCTCCTTCTCAGGAAAAAAGAAAAAAAAAAAATCATTACTTCCCTGTATTCTTCTAGCAGCATTAAAATGACTATCCACAAATACGAAAACTTTCTAAAAATCTTTAATAATGTCCGGAAAAAGAAAATCCTACTAGAATTTAAAAAGCAAAATCTGAGGCTGGGCACGGTGGGTCACTCCTGTAATCCCAGCACTTTGGAAGGCCAAGGCGGGTGGTTCACCTGAGGTCAGGAGTTCAAGACTAGCTTGGCCAACATGGTGAAACCTCATCTCTACTAAAAATACAAAAAATTAGCCAAGCATGGTGGCATGCACCTGTAATCCCAGCAACTCGGGAGGCTGAGGCAGGAAAATCATTTGAATCTGGGAGGCAGAGGTTGCAGCGAGCTGAGATCATGCCATTGCATTCTAGCCTGGGCAACAGGAGTCAAACTCCATCTCAAAAAAAAAAAAAAAAAAAAAGCAATATCCATCTAATACTTGCAAAATTACATTTTAATTTTAAACATTCAGGTCCAGGAAAGGTGGATATCGATTTCCTTTTTTTTTTTTTTTTTTTGATAGAGTCTCGTTCTGTACCCAGGCTGGAATGTAGTAGTATGATCATAGCTCACTGCAGCCTCAAACTCCTGGGCACAAGCAATCCTCCCACCTTCCCCAAGTAGCTGAGATTACAAGCACGAACCACTTGCCCAGCTAATTTTTAAATTTTGTTTTTAGCAGAAATGGGGTCTTGCTATGTTGCCCAGCTAGTCTCAAACTCTTGGCATCAAGTGATCCTCTTGTCTTGGCCTCCCAAAATGCTGGGATTATAAGCATGAGCCACAGGTGTCGGGCCCAAATTCCTGATAAGCTGATTAAAGAATATTTCTAAAAGAAATACAGTATAAAGTTCTCAATAAAGAGAAACAGTCAAGTATAGTTCAAACAAGTAAATTATTTATTGAGAATGGTTAAGTATTAAAAATTGTCATATTTTCTAAAAGGAAGGGCATGATCCCTGTTCTAAGTTACCTGACAATTACTTTTTCCCTAAGGGGCATGATAATCAGCCAGTGATCATCATTTCCAAATTAGTGAAAAACTTATTTGTATAACACAACATTAAATGCATATACAAAAACCTTATTTTTTTGTACAAAAATCTACAAAATCTATACAAAAATCTCTTATTGTACAGAGAATATTCTGATGATGTGATTTCAATTAATCCAATAGAGTGTATGTGAAGGAGTGAACGAGAGAATGTGTTTATCGTGTGTGAAAAAAGAGACAGAAATAAACATAGTTATGACGGGGGCAAGATTTGGTCCAAAATACGGAGGAAATAAACCAAAAAACTGTATACTGCACTTAGGGATTAACAGTAGTTACTAAGTTTGGTTCACCATAGCTTTTGTTTCAGACAATCAAAAGTTTAAATTTTTATGAAATTTCTGGAAAGTTCTTTAAAATAAGTTATCAAAGAGTTACAAAGGATCACATTTTTTCCAGATTTCAGGTGTCTTACCTCCTTTTAAGTTTCTGGGATATTGTATTCCTACTCTTGGATACATATTATTTTTAAAATCCCAGGCAAAACAAAATATTTTTATTCTGAAACCCTTAAAATGAAATTATCCTATGATTTAAAGACAACAGTTACTATTATTAGATCAACAATTTAAAATCATTACCCACTCATTCATCAAATATTTACAAGTAGCTTTTATAATAATTCTTTGTATTATATAGGGCTTTGAGATAACAAAGCTGAAAAAGACACAATCTTAAACAAATTCCAATACTTTTGAGGGGCCAAATTAACATGTAATTTTTTTTCATCTAAAATATGGCACAGGTTCTTTCTGTTGGTCAAATTTAGCCTTGAACCATCAGTTTGTCTGCAACTTTTAGAAGAGTAGGAAGAATTTAATTACAAGGTAAATAACACTTGACTGTGATATATAGCACATAAAAAGAATGAGAAAAACAATTACTCACCTTCTTACAACTTCTTTCCATCCTTCTTCCCTCTTTTGCCCACGCTTAGGACTTGCTACTGTTAACTTCCCATTTGGAGAGGAAAGGGGAGATGGACCAGATTTTGTACAAGTAGATAGAGAATTACTGGTCCCTTCATTGATAGTTTCTGACAATCTTTAACAGAGAGAGGGAAAGTACATTAAATACGGAACAGATGTAGAATTTTAAAATGATAAAGGTAGTCTACTACACAATTTTTTAAAACTTATTTTTAAATAACAAATGACGACCTTATTTTTCACTTCTCCTCATATTTAGCATATAATATAAAGAGCTTTTTTTTTCTTTTTGAGACAGGTCTCGCTCCGTTACCCAGGCTGGAGCGCAACAGTGCAATCACAGCTCACTGCAGCCTTGAGCTCTCGGGTTCAGGTGATCCTTCTGCCTCGCCTCCCAAGTAGCTGGGACCACAGGCGCATGCCATCACATCGGCTAATTAAAAAAAAAAAATTATTTGTAGAGACAGGGTCTCCCTATGTTGTCCAGGCTGGTGCTGAACTCCTGGGCCCAAGCAATCCTCCCACTTTGGCCTCCCAAAGAGCTATTATTATAAGCATGAGCCATTGTGCCCAGCCTAAAGAGCCAACTTTAAGAAGATACTATCTAGGGTACACATTTAGCAGAGTTGAATCACAGTAATAACCCCTTCGAAACCAGAATCCATACTTTTCATGTGCTAAGTTTAACAACCAAAAAAAAAAAAAAAGAAATTATATAGTAAAAATAATTTGATGTCTCATTAATACAAAATCTAAGCAAAACCTTATTCTTCAATTCAATTGAAACTGTACCTTCTTTAGCACAAAGAAAAATCCTATTTTGCAAGCTGTGAATTTACTTTCTTTACCAAAAAATTCAGTAATAAGGTATTTCATGACACTATAAACATTGAAAATAAAAATTGGAACTAACTTTATTGAAGCCTTGCCAGAAACAGATTTTCTCTCTTCCTTTGGAAATGTAACAAGAACCGATGGCTGCTTTTTGCTGCTCACAGTGGTAGTGACCACAGCTGGTGAATGATTGTCACTCTTACGACTGCTGTTGCTGTTACTACTTTCATCGCTGCAGCTAGAAATCCTCATGTTATCACTGTCCCCACTCTCGCTGGTACTGCTGCTCTTGGATTCTCCATTCACCTTCTCTGGCTGACTGTATGAAATTGGTAGTGGATCATCAAATATAATTTGAACGTTTTCTGGAGTAATTTTATTTTTCCTGTTTTTCCTCTTTGAACTGGTTGTAGTTATGGTATTATTTCTTTTACCATGAGAACCTGCCAAAGTTGTCCAGGTTGCAGATATACCTATGGTAGTAGTGGTTGTGGCACTTGGAGGTTCTGTCAAGACTTCAGGCTCATCTGTTAAAAGTAGCAATACTGAATTAGCAAGTTCTAAATGTTCCCAGAATGTATTTAGCTATAAGCACTTGAAGAAAAGAAAAACTCAGGAGAGATACTCTACTACTATTAGCCATGTAAGTTATTCTCACATTCATTGGTAATGAGTTGGACAGGACTGATATACTCTGTGTCCTCACGTTCTGTTCAAAGAACAGCAGGTAGTTATAAAAAATGTTTTGGGGGGCATTCTGGTGCTGGCGTGGCTCCAAGAAGGCCATTCAAGCCAGCACTCTTCCACCTGCTCCTTAGAGAAGGGAAGATGAGTGAGTCGAGCTCGAAGCGCAGCCAGCCCTTGGCCTCCAGGCAGGAAATGGACAGCACTGAGAAGTCGGGCAGGGGCAGGCCCCGCAAGCAGCCTCTGGTGAGTCCCAGGATAGCACTGGTAGGGAGTCAGAAGGAGCCCAGTAAAGTGCCAACACCTAAGAGACCTTGGGGCCAACCAAAGGGAAGCAAAAACAAGGGAGCTGCCAAGACACGGAAAACCACCACTACTCCAGGAAGGAAACCAAGCGGCAGACCCAAAAAACTGGAGAAGGAAGAAGAGGGGGGCATCTCGCAGGAGTCCTCGCAGAAGGAGCAGTGACCGTGTGTGCTGCCTGTGCCTCATTTGAAGGAGCATCTTCCTTCTGGGACTGGACAGCTTTTGCTCTGCTCCCACCGCCCCCACCCCTTCCCCAGGCCCACCGTCACCACTGCTTACAGCCACCACCTCCATCTTCCACCTGTACCCTCACCACCACACTACACAGCACACCAGCTACTGCAGGGCCCCCATGGGCTGAGTGGGAAGCAGTTTTCCTCGGGCCTCAGTTCCCAGCTCCCCCTGCTGACCCATGCATACACACGTACCCTCCTGGACAAGGCTAACATCCCACTTCGCCACACCCTGCACCTGTTGCATCCCAACTCCCTTAGTAGTAGCAACATTGCTCTCTGGGGTTGGGGCAACCTCTCTGCTCCTCCACTGTTCCCTCTGGCTTCCCAGAGTGTGGCCTGGGAAGGTTCCCTGGCCTTAAAAGGGGTCCAAGCCCCATCTCATCCTGGCACGCTCTACTCCACTGCCCTGGTAGCAGGTATGGCCAATGGAGGGAGTGCTGGCCCCAGGATTCCCCCAGCCAAACTGTGTTTGTCACTACGTGGGGCTCACACTTTTCATCCTTTCCCACCTCCCCTAGTCCCTGCACTAGGTTGGACAGTCCCCTTTGGCTACAGGAAGGCAGGAGGGGTGTGAGCCTCCTACTCCCTCTTCACTGTGGCCCCAGCCCCCTTGCCCTTTGCTTGGGATCTGAGTACCTATTGAGGTGATAGAGATGCAGTCACTTATTGTCTAGGTGAGGCCCACAAGTCCTGTGGCCACCGCCTGAGGTGGGCTGGGGCCGCTCTCCCAACCTTACTTTGCTTCCGCCACTCGGCCATTTCCCCCTCCTCAGAAGGGGCACCAATAGCAAGGAGCTCACCCTGCCTGTTCCCAACCCTCCTGCTCCTCCCTGCCCCCTAAGGTTCTGGTTCCATTTTTCCTCTGTTCACAAACTACCTCTGGACAGTGGTGGTGTTTTTTGTTCAGTGTTCCATTCTTCGACATCTGTCATTGCTGCCGCTACCAGCATCAAATGTTCATCCTCATTGCCTCCTGTTCTGCCCACAATCCCCTCTCATAAGATACTCTTCGTGGGGAAGAGGGGCTGGGGCATGGCAGGCTGGGTGAGTGACTACCCCAGTCCCAGGGAAGGTGGGGCCCTGCCCCTAGGATGCTGCAGCAGAGTGAGCAAGGGGGCCCGAATCGACCATAAAGGGTGTAGGGAGCACCTCCTCCCCCTGTTCTGCTGCGGAGGGGTAGCCATGATTTGTCCCATCCTGGGGCTCTTCCTCTGGTTTCCTATTTGCAGCTACTTGAATTTAAAAAAAAAAATGTCTCTGTGTGTGTGTGTGTGTGTGTGTGTGTGTGTGTGTGTGTATCCTTTTCTCAGAGAAAAAAAATTTGGAGGACAGTTTGGAAAATATAAGTATTACTGTATATTATGTATTATTATATAATTATTAAATTTCTTAATGTTGCAGTTATGTAAAATCATGTCCTCTTTCTGGGAAATACGTAATCAAGTATCTAGGGGTGATTTCACGTGATGTGTATAGCTTACATGTAAACTACTCAAAAAAAGAGAAGACATATCCCATGTGTGCCAAAATGCTTTAAAAATGTAGGTGACATAGAGGTGTTCACCATATTAATCCTTAAACTTTTCTGTAGTTTGAAAATTTTCAAAATAAAAGGCTGGAGAAGGGAAATTAAAAAAAACAAAAAACAAAAAACAACACAAACACACATACACACATTGCATGCACATATTTTTGGTGGTTTCATGGCAATGGTTCCTTCCCACAATACAGTCAGTCCTCTTTATCCACAGATTTAACCAACACTAGATTGAAAGTATTCGAAAAACAAAACAATAAAAAAATACAAATTAAAAAAACACAGTATAACAACTATTTACACAGCATTTACGTTATATTAGGTATTAGAGGTAATATAGAGATGATTTAAAGTATATGGGAGAATGTGCATAATTTTTATGCAAATATTACACCATGTTATATAAAGACTTAAGTATCTGAATTTTGGTATCCATGAGGGTCCTGGAAACCATTCCCTGTGGATATGAAGGGACAGGATTACTATACTTCCATCCCAAATAACCTTTTGATTACAACCTAGTTAAAAATAATTCCCTCATTTGAAGAAATTGATGATCTGAATTGTAGATGATATTATGAAATTACCATTTATAATACCTAAAACAGTATTATGATGATGTAAGCAAATGTCATTCTTGGGATGTGGGCTTAATTATTTATAGGTGGCCAGCGCAGTGGATCACACCTGTAATCCCAGTACTTTGGGAGGCTGAGGTGGGGGGGATCACTTGAGATCAGGAGTTAGAGGCTACCCTGGCCAACGTGGCAAAATCCCCTCTCTACTAAAAATACAAAAATTAGGTGGACATGGTGGCGCATGCCTGTAGTCTTAGCTACTTGGGAGGCTAAGGCAGGAGAATAGCTTGAACCCAGGAAACGGAGGTTGCAGTGAGCCGAGAGCACACTACTGCACTCCAGCTTGGGCGACAGAGCAAGACTCAGTCTCAAAAAAAAAGAGAAAAGGACTTATAGGTGCAGTGTCAGGATGTCTGCAATTTACTTTCAGATGGCTCAGAAAAAAATATGTGGAAGTACTTAAAGAGAAAAATAAAGCATATATGGTAAAATGTTAACAATTTTGTCAATCTAGGTGTAATGTATTCAGGTATTCATTTTATCATCTTTCAACTTGTCTGTAGGTTTGAAATTTTTCATAACAAAGTTAGGGAGGAATTCGGTCAACAACAAAAAAAGCATATATCTTTTCTTTTCTCTTTTTTTTGACACAGGGTCTTGCTCTGTCACCCAGGCTGGAGTGCAGTGGTGCCACATCATGGCTCACTCCAGTCTCAACCTCCCAGGCTGAAGTGATCCTCCCACCTTACTCCCTTATTCCCAGTAGCTAGCTGGGATTACAGGGGTATGCTCCTGTGCCCAGCTAATTAAATTTTTTTTTTTCCTTTTTTTGTAGAGACAGTCTCACTTTGTTGCCCAGGCTGGTCTTGAACTCCTAGACTCAAGTGACTCTCCCACCTTGACCTGCTACAAATGTGGGGATTATGGGCGTGAGCCACTGTGCATGGCCTATCTTAAGGGTTTAATAACTTAAAAGTATATTTTCAAGAGTGACTGATAATCAAGTAAATATAATTTTAACTAGAATATAAAACAAATGGGAGGGTTGTTGAGAAAATACCTTCAACTTTAAGCTTTTCTTTTTCTTGAGCAGCTTGGAGTTCAAAGTTTTCTTTATTTTTGGCTTCGATTTCTTCTAGTTTTCTTCTTTGCTCTTCCTTTTTCTTCCTTCTCTTCTCTTTTCTTTTTTCTCTTTTCGCAGCCAAAGCCAGCCTCCGACTTTCTTCCCTTAACTGTTAAAGATCAATAAAGCAGAGATATAACATTGAAATTTACCCTGGAGAAAAAGTTGTCACATAATCATTTAATAATAAGGAAACCATGATATCATAAAATTCAAAGTCATCTAGTTCAATTCATTGTTTTATCAAGATCATATTCAAACCACTCTAAAGAGACATTATTTTTACAATATCAAGATCAAATTAACAATATAAGACTAATTTTAAAATGGGTAAATAATAAACAAATACGTAGCTTTTAATCATTAAGGACATGTAAGTTGAACTGACAAAGAACCATTTTTTGATCATTAATTTGGCAAAATTTAAAAAAGCATCAGATATCAGCACAAGTCTGAGAAACTGAATTATCTCCTGTACTGCTGTCGGCATGAATATTTACATTTTAGAAAAACTAATTTGAAAGGCTCCTAAGAAAAATTACAAACTGCTTATCCTAACAACTTATTCTATAAAATGTCTATCTCTAGTGAAAAACTCAAGGGTTCAGCAATTTTCTTTGCAAATTGATTATAATGGCAATACATGGCAACCAGGTAAATCTATCAATGGGAAGGAATAAATTAACAGGATATATTAACAGAATACTAGATAGCCACCATATGTACTTGGGAAAATGCTTCCAGTTTACATTTGTTAGGAGGAAAAAAAGGCACACTGAAGACTAATAATCACTTTTATGAGAGAAGAGAACCCTCTTTGTGCATCGATTTGTATAAACACAGAAAAAACCCCATAAAAGTTATAAATAAAAGGCTAATAGAGACTACCTCTGGAGGGTGGAACAGGAAGAGGGATAGCAGAAAGACGGTGTCTTTCAATTTTACTTTATATAACTATACATTGTTTCTATTTGTTAAAATGAGTACATTATTACTTTCACAGTCAAAAAACTAAGTGTAGGTTTAAAAGTCCAAAAATATATCTTAATAAACTATTTAAACTGTTAAATTTTCATTCTTGGTTCATAAAGGTATGAAAATCATCTTTAAACTCTGTCTGCATGTCACCTAAAAGATGTTTCTTAAAAACTATTCTCCACCCATAATCTAGCATTCTGAATTATTTTATGTGTATTTTAAATGTGTGTAAAAACAATGTCAGTTAAGGCACGGAGCCTACAACACGTAAAACCAGTCCTCACAAATTCATAAGCCAAACAATATTTAGTTTCCATTAAAAAAAGTCTGACTTCATCTTTTAAGTGTTGTGCTTTTGCTAGATACCCTCTGTCCTGCCTTTCAAATTAACCTTCTCTTAGGTTCTTTTTTTTTTTTTTTAAGCCAAATTTAAAAAGTTTTGATAACCCAAGACAGTCAAACCAGCTCTCAGCTAGGTTCTTGAAAAGTTTGGCCCACCACCAAGTTTTCACACCCTGGGGCAATGCAACATACTTACCTTAGGCTAGGTGAGAGATAAGTCTTGTTCCTGAAAAGGGAAACATGGAAGGAAAACCATGCAGAATACCCATACTTTCCCAGGCAGACGGATTTTAGGAAAGAATGCATCTAAAAGCTAAAGATACAGAAACTGCCTGCATCCTAACCCTGGAAATTTATGCTGGACTCCCA